AAATCACTTTTTCACACAGGGCCATGTAGGTTTGGATTTTTTTTTGCCCATAATTATAAAAAAAAAAAAAAAGTGTGACAAACATGCAAAAAAATAAGAAATCAGGAAGGGGGCAAACACTTTTTGACACAACTGTATATACACATACATACACATATATACACACATATATATACATACATACATACACATATATACACACATATATATACATACATACACATATATACACACATATATATACATACATACACATACATATATACACATACATACATATACATACATACATATACAGTGGGTACGGAAAGTATTCAGACCCCTTTAAATTTTTCACTGTTTCATTGCAGCCATTTGCTAAAATCAAAAAAGTTAATTTTGTTTCTCATTAATGTACACTCAGCACCCCATCTTGACAGAAAAAAAACAGAAATGTAGAAATTTTTGCAAATTTATTAAAAAAAAAGAAAAACTGAAATATCACATGGTCATAAGTATTCAGACCCTTTGCTCAGTATCGAGTAGAAGCACCCTTTTGAGCTAGTACAGCCATGAGTCTTCTTGGGAATGATGCAACAAGTTTCTCACACCTGGATTTGGGGATCCTCTGCCATTCTTCCTTGCAGATCCTCTCCAGTTCCATCAGGTTGGATGGTGAACGTTGGTGGACAGCCATTTTCAGGTCTCTCCAGAGATGCTCAATTGGGTTTAGGTCAGGGCTCTGGCTGGGCCAGTCAAGAATGGTCACAGAGTTGTTCCGAAGCCACTCCTTTGTTATTTTAGCTGTGTGCTTAGGGTCATTGTCTTGTTGGAAGGTGAACCTTCGGCCCAGTCTGAGGTCCAGAGCACTCTGGAAGAGGTTTTCTTCCAGGATATCTCTGTACTTGGCCGCATTCATCTTTCCTTCAATTGCAACCAGTCGTCCTGTCCCTGCAGCTGAAAAACACCCCCATAGCATGATGCTGCCACCACCATGTTTCACTGTTGGGATTGTATTGGGCAGGTGATGAGCAGTGCCAGGTTTTCTCCACACATACCGCTTAGAATCAATGCCAAAAAGTTCAATCTTGGTCTCATCAGACCAGGGAATCTTATTTCTCATAGTCTGTGCGGGCTATGCGGGCTTTCATATGTCTTGCACTGAGGAGAGGCTTCCGTCGGGCCACTCTGCCATAAAGCCCCGACTGGTGGAGGGCTGCAGTGATAGTTGACTTTGTGGAACTTTCTCCCATCTCCCTACTGCATCTCTGGAGCTCAGCCACAGTGATCTTTGGGTTCTTCTTTACCTCTCTCACCAAGGCTCTTCTTCCACGATTGCTCAGTTTGGCTGGACGGCCAGGTCTAGGAAGAGTTCTGGTCGTCCCAAACTTCTTCCATTTAAGGATTATGGAGGCCACTGTGCTCTTAGGAACCTTGGGTGCTGCAGAAATTCTTTTGTAACCTTGGCCAGATCTGTGCCTTGCCACAATTCTGTCTCTGAGCTCCTTGGGCAGTTCCTTCGACCTCATGATTCTCATTTGCTCTGAAATGCACTGTGAGCTGTAAGGTCTTATATAGACAGGTGTGTGCTTTTCCTAATCAAGTCCAATCAGTTTAATTAAACACAGCTGGACTCCAATGAAGGAGTAGAACCATCTCAAGGAGGATCAGAAGAAATGGACAGCATGTGAGTTAAATATGAGTGTCACAGCAAAGGGTCTGAATACTTATGACCATGTGATATTTCAGTTTTTCTTTTTTAATAAATTTGCAAAAATTTCTACATTTGTTTTTTTCTGTCAAGATGGGGTGCCGAGTGTACATTAATGAGAAATAAAATGAACTTTTTTGATTTTAGCAAATGGCTGCAATGAAACAAAGAGTGAAAAATTTAAAGGGGTCTGAATACTTTCCGTACCCACTGTATATACACATACACATATAAATAAATAAGTGTTTCGTCTCTCCAGTTCCCTCTGACTTTAATTGTTTCCATAATAAAAGTTCAGATCATGAAAAGACAAATATTTCTAATAAATGAAGAAAGTTGTTTGTGGCAGAAGCAGAAGCTGTCGGGTAGTGAATCACATCACGTGATGCAGCTCAGCCAATCAATATGGGCATTCTGACCCGAGTGAGATGTACCACACACCATGACACAGGGGACTGAGCCGAGGAAAGACTTTGCAGAGCAGTACGTTCAACGTTCAAGTTGTGAAAGTAAAATCCTATGTTAATCTCTTTGGGTCGCGGCTTGTGATTAAGGAGTGATGGTGGATCCCACAGCCAGACCAGCTGAGAACATTATATTTTCCTGAATTTAGGCTTTCGCATTTTCTAAATGTTCTAGCATTATTCAAACGACTCCTACCGAACGGTTTAATGCGAAGATGTACATAGTTACAGCCTTAAAAATGAATAATAGCTGTGGCACCATCATGTGGTTATAAGGTGGTATTTCAGCTGCAGGACAGCAGTGAAGGCCCAGGTATAAAATGCACGGCCCGCCACTGTGATATACAAATGGTCATTTTAAAGGTCTAAGCACAGGGCTGGAGTCAGGATATGGTTAGCCTAACTTCTGTAAACAACCGCCTAACACAGCGACTGTGAGCAGCTTTCTGAAGTCTTGTTTGCCATGTTTGTCTGTTATCTGGCAACCCGGCTATAGAAGAGACACATCACAGCAGTGCGGATGGATAAACTGTTATTTGTCAAGAAATAGTTCCACCACCTTACTTAAAAGCACAAAATGTCATTTTTACAATTCTCATGGTGAAAAGGTTAAACAAACAATATACACTGTGAAAAAACGCAGCTTTGGTCTTGTTCTTACTTTGGACAGAGCCGGGCTAACAGTCCCCCCCTTGCAGTCTTTATGCTAAGCTAGGCTAATCAAATCCAGACTCCAGCTCCATACTTATCACACAGGCATGAGATTCAAATCCATCTCTTCATCTAACTCTGGAAAAGGTAATATGCGCATTTCCAAAAACGCTTTTGTTTTCAGAGCAGTGGAATCAAAAACAGTACCAAGACACTCACATATGAATTCCATTGGATTGGAAATTTAATCAGTGTGAATGTTAAGTGAAAATCATTTTTTCTCCTGCAACATGCACAACTATCCAAGACTGATTTTACTGCATGTGCAAAACAGATTGTTCCTGCAAAATTCAGGCTGTTAGATTTTCTACATCAAAACGTTTTGGGACAGCCATGGAAAACTGGAGGTGGAGGAGGACGACATTCTTCTTGCTGCGACTTGAGGTTTTTTTCTCCAAAATGGTGTCTCTGCTCACTATAGTGTCTTCAAGGCCTGTGGGTAGTACTTGAGGAAGATCCTGCGGGCGATCTCGTACGTGTCTCCCTGAGGCTTGGCTGGGTACGTGCGGCCGTTGTAAATGAATCCCTTTTCTACCTGGAAAACCTCCTGGTTGAAGGCGTCCTGCTTGAATGGTCGTCCGCTGTCCAGACACTCTACCAGGGTGTGAACGAAAAGGCCCCATCGCTGGGCGTAGTAGTCCTCCATAAGACCTCCCCACTCTTTGCTGGCGTAGTCCAGAATCTCACCACTGGGACCCCATAGGGTCAGCTGGTTTCTGGCGTTCATGTCGTAGAGCTGCGCCTCCTTCTCATCTAGGGCTAAGGATCGGGCCCGCTCCAGCCATGTCCCCAACAGGAAGTTGCGGTCGCTGCTCAGCAAACGATTAAGTTCAGGCAAGAGATCATTGACCAGCACCCCGCCTGCAATCAGCAGCTCTGGCAGCTTTTGTTTCTGGAAGGCCTCTACGATATCCTGGTAAAAGGAAGTCGTCAGGACTTGTAGGACCTGCCGAGTCACATCCACAAGGTCGTACCGGAAAGTCTCCTTGGACATGAGAGATGGAGCTGCCTCCATAATCAGTTTCCAGGCTTTGTACAAATCAGATGGGTGATACCAGACACCAGAATTCATGCGAAAAGAGGGCCGGTGCACCAGTGGGCTATGGTTGTGGTTTCGGTAATGTGGCACAGTGCAGTTGTAGACGCTGGCGAATAGGAGCCTCCATGCGGCGGTCAGGTTCTCCTGTGTGCTGCCGTAGCGGCGTATTGCATACAGCGACACCCACTTGGACAAGTTGACGGGCTCCTTGCGCCACGCCAGCTCACTCATCAATTCGAACATCACAGGATTCTGCTCGATGCCCTCCGGCGTCATGCCTATGCCCACCAGAGTGGAGTTTGGGAAGTGTAAGGCTTTGAAGGGCCCTGAATTGATGCTCTCCACTGTGCCAAAGAATCCACTGTTGCCCCCAAAGTTTTGCAGCATGCACCAGATGAAGGGCTGTCCGTAGAAAGACTTGGTGTAAGAGAAAATTGGCTCGGTCTCTGCAAACAGGTCCAGCACGATCATCCTTCCGAGGGGCACTCCGTGTAGCAGGGCCTGAATCTGAGCCGGCTTCCAGAACGCTGCGTCACTGAAGAACAGCCAGCCTTGCATCAGCCAAATTGCCTGAGGATCAACTGGGGAGAAAAAAAAAAAATGGAGATTTGGATGAGGGACAAGAAGGGCACAGTTCTCGAACATGGCTGGAAACCAGCAGTGTGCGCGAGGGGGGGGGGGTCACACATGGGTCATCAAACTAGGGCAATTATTGTACTTGTTACCCAAAATACCAGCACTACGACCACTATTGGATTTAAAACTTGCAACGTGAACTGGATATTAGTCACTCAGACACTCACCTGCAGTCATTGAGGCAAAGACAGAGCGACTGACTGCAGACAGGTAGGTGGGGTCAGAGGAGGGTGGACTCATCTCATTGAAGGTGTCAGTGTTGTAGATGTGATCTGTACCAAACTGCTTGACCACCTGAGACAGATAAAGGGAACCGATCCGGAGGAAAAGTGGGTCGCGAGGGTCTAAGATGTAGGAGCACGAGTAGCTGCAGTTGAATTGAGCCCAGGGCCTCAATCTGGTTACATTGGCTTCTGGATACAGCCTGAAATACAAGAAACACTTCAGAGACCCAAAGCTTTTGACCAAAATATTCCCTAGCCATATCCTCACAGACGGGCTCTCTCAAAAGAATCAGGAAGTGGGACACAGAAGTGGAGTAAACAGAACGTACAGACTCTGGAAGCAACCTAAGTTGAAGAGAAATGCCCAACTTAATCTTCCTAGATATGTTTCCTCAAGGCTAGAGTATGCATGAAATGAACTAGTTCATACAAAGTGTCTGAAGGCAAAAATGTTTATACCAAATCTGTATGGCCAAACTCAAAGACATGGTGAGAAGCTCATTATAGAGAGGGGCCAATGAGAATAACAGCGTAAGTTCAATCAACATTTAGGTTGATAGGACTTGAACCAGGACTTTAAATATCACCATTGGTATCAGCCTGTATATAATTCTGATATGTTGGAACATAAACAAGCTTGAGTCACCTGAGGATTCCCTTGGGAATGTTGCCAGAGAAGGCTGGCAGCACAGGAACCATGCCAAAGGATCTCATGCGCTGTAAGATTTTAAACTGCAAAAACAAGAAGAAGTCGTGAGAGGATTCAGTCCAAGGCAGTTGGCATGCTGAAATTCATCAGCAAACATTTTAAACATGCACATGATTTTATCCACAATAATAGATGGCCTTTAAAAGAGATACAAGGCCTTTAAAAGGATAACTGTGGTTAAACGACAACCTGGGCCTCATTTTGGCCATTACTCCTAGTCAGAAAGGGCAAGAAACATGCAACAGGCTGGAAACAAAAGCCGCAGGGTGTTCATAGTTACTCGGATGTTTTCAACTAACAGTTTGGATCATCAGTGTAGTTGTGTGTACGCTGTTTTTTCTGTTCAATGAGGGTTATCGCAACATTTCAGTTGTGTTCACCTTTAATATTACCACCAAATAAAGAGGTTTAGATGATCTGGCCAACCTGGGGGTTTGTTTTCACTATGTCACTGCGTATCAAGAGCTCAACTGATGCTTTATACAAAGTGAGTTACCATAAACAATAGGAATGACAACGAAAACCCAAGTGTCCAAACTGAAGCCACTATATGCAGAAAAGCGATGTGGTTACAGTTCCTTTACATTTTTCTGAGTGTCTGTAAATTGAAAACTAAGACAATCCATGTAACAGCTGGTGCAGTCTATGTGCTGCTTCCAGTCTCAGGGTTTAATGCTACCACTCAGTGGTGCCAGTCAGAAATGTCCTGATTCTACACATAGTGGTTTCCCACTGCATTGACAAGCAAGGAGGTTTCAGTACTTGGAGGTAGAGCTGGTTCACATGCCAGGACTGTGGCAGAGGCCCACCGAACCTGAAAAGGTTTCCCATACGGTTCCAGGCCAGAAATGCCGCGCCCGAGAAGAACTCTTCAATCTCTGTGTGGTTCAACCCAAGAGCTTGGTAAACCTGAAAGGTACACAACAAGTAGATGAATTGACGTCCGTCCACATGCTGCTGCACATATCAATCAACATGTATCTGCTTCTAAGACATTAGGTTGCACAGGTCAAATTGAGATATAAATTATCTTCCTGCTCGTATTAAAAAGGGGAAGATAAAGAATTCCAATATGGTTTTTCCATGGCCTAGTAAAGTTTAATGTGAACATGAGCTAGTCTCTCTCAAGGCCAGAAACCAGAGAAGTAAGTCAAATCAAGTATGAAGTGTACAATGAATGGGAGACCCACACAATGTCTGTTCTAATTCTATTGTAGTGCTGTCAGCTGTGAAACAGAAAAGGTAACATGTAGTCAGAGCATTCCCCTGGTGCTCAAGGACATCTCTCCCAATTCATAGTCTATGGAGCAGCTCCACACTTTATACTCGATGACTGTCTAAGACCATAGGAATAACATGGATGGATTTAGAAAATGGGAGTAGTTCCTCTTTAATGACTGTCCTCACATCTCTCAGAATCACTTCCCCTTCTTCTGATTTTGCTTATTTCTCTGAGAATAACACATCTCTGAACTTGCTGCAAAACTTAACTATATAGCTGCTTAACCCCTGAATCAACATATAAAACGTTCCTGCCAAACGTGATCATTTTAGAAGGCTTAACAGGAGATGATGGAACATACATAACACTGATGCTAAGAGCCGTCTTTACCAGCGTTCTTGTGGTGTAATGTAGATTTTGTAAAGAGCACGATCACTCTCAGTCTCTGCTCTCCGCTCTTACCTCTTGCCACAGGGCTTCCTGGCCAGTGAAAGCCAGCGGCAGATTGATTCCATTGAGTGCCATCCAGTCGATCTCTCTCTCCCATCTCGGCCAGTCCCACCACACAGAGGAATAGCTAAAAGTGCAGACGTTCTGGTAATACCGGAATCTAGATACAAACACACAAATATATAGTGTACTATAAAAACGACATGTTCAAATGAGATAAAATACCTAACAGTGTATGCAATAAAGGGAATAATAATAATCCTAAACCCATTACTAAACTACAAACCACAAAGCATATGCACTTAATGGAACAATGCTGAGTCGCAGTGTTTGGACAGTGAAATGCTCCCCATTAGCTAAAATTCAAACGATGACTACGAGGCTTACAGAAAGTGCTGACTTTAAACCGTGGATGTACAATAATAACTGGATACGAGTGCTCAGCCTTGCTTATAATGTTGCCCAGTAGCGGTATTGCAGCGTACATTTCCCCCTAAACCAACAGTTTAGCGCTGCAAACAAGTCAATAATGCGTCTTTCTATTATGAATGACTATGATGTCGATGTACAGCGAGACAATACAATAGAAAATGAACTGAAGGTTAAAACCAAGTTGACAGATCCAGTTTCACAATAGAAGTCACTAGTTTACTCATTACACCTACTCCAACATTTATGTGTATTTGTGATGTGCATATTGCTTGAGATTCTAGTAACTGTCAATTCTTATTGAAGTTGTTGTCACATAACATGGCGTCTAGTTCAAATAACATCAGCACTGTTGTAACCTAAACCTATAGTTTCCTGCAGATGGTAAATGGCTAAAAGTTATAGTCATGGCAAAACTAAAGTGTGCCATGCTTGCTGTGGCTTTCCCAATCGAACGATTGTGCACATGACATAACTGTGGCGAGCTGATGCAGCACTAATGCACAACAGATAATTGAAAGGAAAGGGTCCTTTAGGCTGTGGCACAAGTGTCCATAGTGCCCACAATAAACAATGAAAGGTAATGCGTGACCCAGCCGTGGGTTCTGTTGTACCGCGCTGCAGCGGAGGGGGCTGGGGTCACTGTACAGACAATTCAAACACATATGGAATGGTATCCTCTTTCACAAAGGTTGACATCACAAGTTCTCATGATGAATCCACTTTGTGAGTTTTCTTTTTTACTGGGAAGTATGGAAAGTCAGGTGTTCTTAGCTGCTCTAATTTAAAACAGGAGCTATCACAGCACCTCTATGACTCTCATGGCAGCTGGTTATTCAGGAAGTGGGACTTTAACAGGAAGGGCTCCTCTATCTGGTGACTTCTTCTGACTGCCACTGAGAGGAGGAGGTGCTGGTTGCTGGTGTTTTGCTGATGTCAGTGAATTTGCAGTCGGAGCTTACACACAGAGTATTTACTGAAATCAGAGGAACGCAGAGTGTGGCACCTTATGTATTTATAGCACATGTAGCTTATATTTGTAAAGCTCAATAGCCCTCTCTCTCTCTGCCAAAATGGAACAATAATACTGTCATATGAGAACAATCCTGCAAAACGTTTTGCAATCATTAAAGTATCCATCTATCCACCAATCGATAGACAGTCTATACTACATTATTAGTTTACTAGAGACGCATTACTCTATAAGAAGCATTTTCATTTTCTTGATTCAATAATTCATTTTTAATATCTCGTCCAAGTTAAGGTCCTCAGAAGTACCTAATAACAACGTGAAAGTAATGTAACGTCAAACGTGTACTTAAGTACAGGACTTAAGTGTTCACACCCCGTTACTCTGAAGGTCTTCTGTTAACTTCGACATGAACAAAGTAGTCATTTGGCTGCTAGTAACTGATGTGTAGTAGTTTGCATACTCACTCATGAGCGGGTGTCGTATTGCTAAACTTTGCTAATGTGAAAAGTCGAACATTTCCACTGAATTTCAGTGAGATAAGCTCTGCTCGGTGTCCTGGAAACGTGCATTAACGTACGAGCCAGTATACACGGCGGGTCACTGACCTATGCGGGGTGTTGATGCGCAGGACGCCGGTGAGCTTTGGCAGAGGACGAGGCATATCCAGCTGGTCACCGGACCAGGAAACATGACAGTTGCAGAAATATTTCAGATAGTTGTAAATGCCGGAAGCCACGGCCACTCCGGTGCTGCCCGTAGCGACTATCTTGTTGTCTTTAGTGGACCTGAGCTCACACACATCCAGGCTGTCGTTGGAAAGGCTGCTGTTGACCGACACGATGAACTCCGTGGACCTGGTCCCGAGCAGGCGCTTCAGCAGCTCCACCACCGCTCTGCCCTGCGCCTCGTCGCTGGCTTTCGGTTTGATGTGGTCCAACGAGGGGAATTTACAAAAGGCAGTTACAAAAAGACAGAACACGACGACCAGGACCGGAGCACAGCTGCTACTAGGTGACATTTTGAACCCCCGGTCAAGTGAAGCCAGAGTTTCCCACCGTAGCGCAGGTTTAAAAGCAACTCTATTTCCTCATTTGCATAGAACCAGGAAGCGCTGCTTCTGCTGGCCAATCAGAGAGAGTGTGCAGCCTCGATTATAACTCACGGCCAATCAGAGGAGGCAGTTCCCATAAAACAAATTCCTCTGAGAAGCCACTGTTTGTCATGTGACCAGTCTGTCACGTGATAGAAATATTACAGAAGTGGCCTGATTTCAGGTACAGGCTTGATGCCATGTGATCATGTAAAAGCACAAGGTGAAAACCTTGTGACTTGGTGGATCATTGAATCACTCCTGAAACAAAGTTCAAAACACCAACGAGGACAGATGGTTAGCATGTTAGCTTGTTTAAGGGCTACTCTTTCATTGTGTTCCAATTGCAAATCCAGGCGAAGGGACAGAGAGAGTACATACTAGAAACAGGTTCTTCTGATAACAGCTGACGTAGTTGTGAGGCTAATATCTACGTGTTACTCCCCCATTAGTCCTCACTTCAAATGTGATAACAGCTCGATGGGGCACATGCATACATGTTTTGCTCATGTAACAGAGTTAACAATTCCACTTGCCATCACTGGTCATTATTTGCTCATTTTACTGTGAATTTAAGTTCTTACTAATCCATATCATCTTCATGTTATTTCCTCCTTTATTTCTGTAAATATCATTTACAATGTAGTATCATTAGTTTCCCACGGAGACAAGTGTGTTGTGAGCGCCCCCTGCTGGGCCCCTGCAGACTCGAGTGGTTGGCCCCGCTTTCGGTGACCAGTCTGCTGCTTTACACTGATAACTTCATTTAGCATTAGTAACATGCTAACCAACAGCTAGCTAAAGCATGCGTTTCTTTGCTTTGGCAGTTCGCGGAGCTCGTTACCACGAGGTGGGCTGTGAGACACCTGATATGATTCTGTCTGTTACCAGACGTGTCTACTGTATGCTGTCCAGTGAATAAACCGCTGGTTGGAGTCCAAAAAGATATCAAGTGTACCTGAATCAAAACACAGCGCAAAAGAGAGTACACAACTGCTACACCCCGTAAGCAAACAACTCTCGCATCAAGTGACATCGCATGCGACAGCTAAAGGAAAACAGCACACAGTGTTATGATTTATTGATCATGTAATCTTTATTTGTAGATTACATAAGATGATCATATCTTATTTGTGTAACATCTTAGTGACTTTAGTTGTTAAATGTAGAAAGAAAGTTTGAGTACCTCAACATTGTACTTTACTTCCTGTAAATGTACATCTTTACTGAAGGTTGCAGACCTATATTATTATATAATATTGTATTTACAGCATCCATGTTATGGTTAATGTGGTAATGTACAATTTTCAAGTTCTTGTTCTTTTCTTCCCTTTACATATACACATTACATTAAATTAAGTATTATACATAGACATCTGAGGGTGCCATTCTGCAGAACAAGTACTTTGTATAGTATATTTGGTGATACTACATAAAAATATGAATGCAGTACTTTTACGTGCCATGGGGTATCTTTAATTTATTTAAGTGAAGGAGCTTAATACTTTCTCCACTCATCAATATCAATCACTACTAACCTTCACCATAGTTTAGTTATTACTACTGTGAAAACCCATGATGTAGCTTAGCATGTGTTACAGACACACAGCACATTTCCATCATACATGTACGTTTTCTTCAAACAATAAAAAAGAAGGCTCTTTTTCTCAAACAGTGAATGCTGAGAAATCTGAATATGCTCATCATGTTTAGAAACTGTACTTATTGAGTAGAGTGAACTCTCAGCTCTGCATTCATTCAACTCATTACAAGAACGCAGGTTAAAATAAACTCTGAAATAGTCTAAAAAAGAAATGATTCTAAATTAGAATGCAAAAGGTGCAAAACCTACGTGCAAAGTGGTCTCCAGCTGGACAAGTATTGTATCGGACTCTGAAGCGACACTTGACAGTACAGTGCTTGGAACAGGGGGACGATACAAAACAATAACAAATAAACCACAGTGGGATACAATTCATTAAAAAAAAGTTTTATTTTCAAGTCCGAAATCCCAACATCAAACTTCCAGCAAAATGTTGCACACGTGGAAGTAAATACAAAGCTCCCATACAGACCACAGGCTGCACAGAAGCCAACACACAGCAGCAGTGAGCTAGAAAAGTTAATTACACTGAAGACAAACGTACATCACGCTGATTCAAAGACTGAATTAGCATAAACATCCAGCTTACTGCTGGTGTGAGCATCAAAGTGCGTGTTCGCTTTTGCAAGTTTGTGTTTCAGCTTTTATTTACCAAAGATATAACAAAAAGCATAAGAGGCAAAGGTGAGAGCTAGAAAGGCCTCCCATCTACACTCCAGTCATCAGGTATTATTTGGTTGATTTTTACCATTTATTTCACAGTGAGTTTTCTTGAGGTTTACTGTGTTAACTTTCATCCCGGGCGAGTTGTGTTTGCTAAAAGGGAGAAGACATTCCTAGGTTGAGGCTGGTACAGTAGTAGTGCAGCGTGAATGGCGATGGTTTAAAATGTCCCTTAACAACCCACAAGGCACAGACAGATCTGCAGAACCTCCGTATCTCCAAACTAAGGCGTCACAGATACCAAACAATTACTGAAGATCATTACTAAGAATGTAGAAAAAAAGCTTTGTACGCAGAGCAGGATTCAGCCTGGTGATGAAATTCATCCAGATCTGACACAACGATTAGACTCAGGCACTTTCAGCAGTGATGAACACATGATCAACACTACTTCTGACTGAAAGTAGTATTACAAAGTATGAGGTATGAGCATTCTCCCAAACGAATCCACTGACTGGGCACACACAAAGAACTTAAAGTTACTACGAGGAACTTCCCTTTTGTGTTGATTTTGGCGGTCCCTGTGGACAAAGGTGGTAGTGTTTATGAGCACTCATTTTACTGAAGCAGGGGTCTGAGTCTACCACGATCAGTCCTGGTTCAGGTTCTCCCTAGCATCCATTTCCTACAGCGGGCCCTTCAATACGGCCTGGGTCTCCGGCAGCGTGGTGTCGGTTCCCAGTGGGGACCGGAGGAGCAGAGAGAATGACCGTGGAGGGGTCAACCGTGGCTAAGTGTAAGTGGAGAGCAGGGCTGTCCTTCAATCAGAGGATCGATGGTTCGATCCCCGGCTCCGGCTCCACTAGTCGCATGTTGATGTGTCCTTGAGCAAGACACTTAACCCCTAAAATTGCTCCCGTAGTTGTGCCTACGGTGTGATAGAATCTGAAAGTCTTTGGATGAAAGCATCCGCTAAATGACTAATTTAATGAGAAGCTCTGCTCCTGGAGGAGGAGTAGACGCTGCTGCTCTCCTCCTCTCTCTGGGACTGCAGGTCAAAGGCTGCAGTGAAGCCGGATCTGGGTGGACTGGAGTTCTGGTGAACATGCATGACCGCATCACCGACGACAAGCATCAAGAATAGCTGTAATCTTCTCTCTAATGGTCTCGTTTACTCATGAAGGTCATTTATAACAGTGGTTCTCAACTGGTCTGGCTGCAGGACCCACCATCACCCCTTAATGACAAGCCGCGACCCAAATCGAGGAACATTTTCAACTTCTCAAATGTATTTAATGTAAAGATGGAGCAGTTTGAACCTGAGCTGAAATTGTCCTTGTGCAGAGAAATTGTTCCTGTCAGTCCCCGTCCCACACATGTTTCACGTAAATGAGTAAAACTGCTTTGTTTGTTATGTCTGTAGATTCGACCATTTGTAATGCAAAATGACCACTTGCCATATTTTGAGCTGTGGTCCGTTTGATGTCATCCGACATGTCTTCAATTCACCTACTTATAGTGTCATTTGATAGAGGTACAGTTTTCAGTTTCATTACAAGGCAAGGCCAAATATTGTTAAGGAGTGTGAATAGAAGGCACTCTGCTACATAAAAATCCCCTTCAAAATATATATATTTTTTTCCAGGCAAAGGCCCGCCACCCACTGAAAATGAGTCCGCGACCCACTTTTGCGTCACTCCCCACCAGTTGAGAATCACTGATTTAGAGGCATCAGTATCAAATTGAGACAGTTTCATAACCAGTTAAAAGTTCCTCACAGTAACTTTAAGGTTCCATTTGACAACATATATTAGTACATGGCCCATGTTTAAGATCCTCCATCAACATGTCACGGCAACTGTCACAGTCCGACCTCCAGAAAGCAATATCAGATGTTGGAGTTGATTCAGTGCATCACTCATGCACATCAGTTTGTCACCCACTGGGTCTGGGTTCAGCTGCTCAGGACTGGATTCAAATATTCTATCAGCCTGTTGTTGAAAATGATTCAGTTTACCTTTCGGCTCTCGGTGAAGTGTCAAGCTCTGATGGGTTAAGACAGAAATGTGTCAGGCAGCTAATTCAGTGCATTAGTGGATTGAAACAACATGGCGGCCACTTCAACTCATTGGGTTACATCATGATTAATAACTCACGGAGAGAGTGCAGTCCTTTAAACACCACTACTGGGTTCAGAAACATGGCTCTAAAACACACTTCAAAAGGACAACTGCACTGACGCGAGGCCAACAACTCATCCTGATGGAGGTGGAATAAGTAGACAACAGATTGTTACAATGAGTGAGCAGTTTCATAAACAAATGGATAAACTCTACGATGCATTAATGTTTATTAATATGTATGGGATAGTTCTGAACTTCTTTATTCGTCCCGAATGTAATGATTGGCTGGGTTGCTGTCTGTCTGTCTACCTGCGTTCACTCATTGCTCTTAGCTTACCAGCTGTGAGCACCAACAGTAGCCGTGTTCCTCGTTTACGTTCATAATGATCATTATGGCCTGAAGGGACGGCTGTCAGTGTTGATGACTTGAGAGATTTAGTGACTTTACAGCCAGTGCTGCTAGCTGCTTTCATTGGGAAACAGTTGGCAACACTGGGCTGGCTCTCAGTTTAAATCTAGCGCACTCTTGCTGGTTTGTCCATCGTTGCCACCCCCAGATTTTATGTGACAATATTTACTTATTTTCAAACTGTAAAATTAGATTTTACTGGTAAACCACAAGGATGCATTTCATGTTCTAATGGATATTAGGATATTTAGTAAAGTAAAAAACAATGACAGTATCAGTTCAAATGATCATAATAAACCAACATTTGGTTTAAAAATTATATCTGACAATAAAAAACAAAACAAAATCAGACTTGTGAAAGTGTGAAAATCAATAAGCACTCATTGACTTCATGAGACCAAATGATGGCATCTA